CCCAGAATACAATTATTCAGGTGAGGTTATACCAGGAACGTACATCGATCGTGCTCTGTCCATTGAGTTGTGTTTTGGGGTAAGATAGCCATGTAATGACTTGACTTTGCTTTTGCACAAGTTAGTCTCATTAGTGTGCTGAAAAGAGATGAATCGAGGTAAAATAGCGAAACCAACCATATTTTAATTGATTAGCTTTGAGTACAATATACTTCATCACACCCATCAACCTGGGAGTCATATTACAAAAAAGAACGTGGACGTAACAAACTGAACGCTTCTAATGAGAACATGGGTCACGCAACGTTGCCAAATTCAAACTAAAGGGGGCTTGTAATGTCCCAATTGGGTAACCTACTACTCATTACTAACCTCATTTCCCATTCCAAGCTACCCGTTTCTTGTATTTCCATGAGCAAAACAATAGCGATTACCATTGAATGAAAATGATTAATTTTTAGATTTCACTGTTTTTTAATTGTAAAGGCTAATGAAAAAGGTTAATCAAGTTAGCTGGGGATAACTGCTTAATTACAACTCAAACTTTTCGAAGTAAAATACTTCGCAAAAATGGGAAAAAACTAAGTGTTAACTTGAACAGAAGGTAGCCTGAATGTGCCTTTTCGTTATCACCTTGATAAGCGGGAAAGATTGGGAAACGCAGATGATCACATTGCATTTGACTACAGACGAACAGCACATGTAGAAATAGACCGGGGTTTTCCGGTGTGTGTCGATCTTAGGCGAAATATTTTGCTTTGGCACTATCGCCCATGGGCGCTTATTCGGGTTGGGGGGTTATTTGTTTCAAAAAATAGTTTCATGAAATGGGATTTACGGAAGAACCCCAGCAGTGAAAAGCATTCAAAAGCCTTTGAGAGGATAGAGTAACTACATTTTTACTTCGCTGATCAGCATCTTTATTTATTCTAACTATCCGTTAACATAGGTAACAGCCCTTCTGCCAATTTACTAGTATTCACAAGCCGCAAGCAAGAAGCAAAACTTAAATTCACTAAAAACAGAAATGTAATTGGCAACAAGTGAGAGATCATTACATACATACAGAACAGTATGAACTATTTTAAACTATTCGAACCATCATCATCTTCATTACCACTAGCCGATTCATCCACTTTGAATCCGAAGATTTGAGCAATTCTCTTCTGAGTTACTCCATTCCCCTTCATATAGCCAATCTTCTCTGCTAAAGTTCCACCAACTTCAAAGAACCCATCATGAAATCTCCTTTCCTTAATCGCTTCTCTATCCTTTACCTGAATGCGTTTCCACGTCAATACACGAATACGCTTCCAATACTCCTCCACCCTGTATTCTGGTCCTTCAACAGCTATAATTCCTGGTTTTCCAGGAAGACAACATCCAGTGAGGCCCAATTCTCTGGCCCAATCCACAATCACTTTTCTTTTTTTGGGATTTCGAATATGATGGGAGAAGATCCAATAGCAGAAATCAGTGTCGGAAGTTTGAGAAGTGGTCTTGGAAGATTCACCAGGGCAATCGCTTGGGGTTTCATGGGAATCATCTGCAGGCTGAACATTTTTAATGGCAGCACGGCCGAGGTAGGCATCCCGGTTATCTTCCTCCAGAGCAGAACGAAGCCAATCAACCAGGGAACAGATAATGGGCTCATGAGAGGCACATGCTTCTTTTAACCACTCATTGAGGGCTGCGCTCAAGGCCTTTTCATTAATAATGTAAGTAGATTGGGAAACACGCAAAAGAACTGAGGGGCGTACGCGAGGATAACCGCGAGGTAGGCAGACTGTTAAGAGGACGGTAACTGATAACTAGAAGAGTTGATAAATATACGATAATCGCTACTTGATGTATTTTTTACAAGAATAAATGAGCAATTGGATGTTTCAATTTAAGGTGGCACTTTTAAACGTTTATATACAAAAGGGCAACTAAAATTAAAGCAAATAGTAAAATAACTGGACAAGATGTAAAATCGAAACGAAACAAATAGTTTTTCGTGCCCTTAAAAATTCAAACGAAATCAAGAGAATAAATTAATAAATCAAGAATATAAAACTATCTGAGGAATAAAACTTGAAAGCCTTTCAAGACAACGAGTGCAGATTCGATACTTAGCGATACACATTCATCGAATGAAACAGACACCTGTTATGATCAAAAGTGATTAGCTAATTAATAAAAGATCGTAGTCTTCCGTATAAGAGGCCTCATAAAAAAAATAACCTGAGGACCATAAGAAACTGCATTTCAATAATATCAAAAGAAAAGCAAAATAATAGGTTTAAACCAACGAAAAGTATTAAAGACGTTCAATACTCTTACTTCTGAAAACGCAAGCTTCAAGGTTAGGTGTACATCCCTGTCTTCTATTTGAACGTCCTGTGAAGCCAGGAGATCAAATTCGTCGATAAACGACGGATCGTCGAAAACGAGCTCTTCAGGTGTAAAAACGGAGCGAATAAGGCTAATTTCATTATTCTTGTCAGTAACTGACATCTGACTATATAATATGTATAATGACGAAGATTAAAATCTAATTACCAATCTTCATCATCGTGAAAAGAATGCGATCGAAGTAAAAGTTTTTAGTAAATAAAAAAATGTACAGAGGTACAAAGTATCATAAGTGGAATCTGAGGTTACGGATAAGAATATCACATTTTCTTAATTACAAACAACTTCTGCTTCCTTCTCCTCTTCAGTTTCCGGTAAAAAATCTTCAGGATCATAGATAACTCGGATAATCAGGGAACAACTGGGACATTTAGCAATGTCTTCACCCATCTGTAATTCCTCCTTAGAAATTTCGAAACGATCACCACAAGGGCAAGGATAATAGTACATTTCTTCATCTTCGTCGTAGTCCATGTCCTCGATTTCAACTTCATCGTGAAATATTGCCATTACCGAATATTGAACAAGTATCTGAAAAATATAAATTCAGAAAAAAAACCATCAGATATCAAAGGAGCATATTGAACATAATAAAAATACTGAATAAATTACTCGCCAAAAATACACTTTATGGGCAACAGCATCTAATGTAATTACCAAACCACAGCAATAACCGCAAACGTGATTTGCCGAATAATGGAAAATTCACTTAAGCGCGTAAAATTAAAATGTAAATGAATTTCTCTCAGAGAATCAAGATTCGACATTATAATTGATCACACAATTTCTAGAGATAATAATTTCCGCCAGTTTTTTTAAATTTTTTTATGTAGTTATATTAACATTTCAGTAAATTAACTATAAAGTAAAATTGTCACTTTTTGATTGAATTCATGATATCAGAAAGTTTTTTCATTCCCCGTCTGTTTTTAATAACGGAAAGCTAACATTTGTTGTGAGACTTGGCTTATTGAAAAATGTAGATAGTTATAATTTTTGTCATGATATTCTAATCAATTAAATATTAAAAGCTGTTTTGAATTATTAAATGTAGAATGAACAAGTTATTTTCAGCTTGAAGTTTAAAATTGCCTATGAACATTTTAAAAGAATGTTGCACAATGAATATCACGTATATGAATTTGTAATAACTAAAACAATTATAAAACTCATGATCCATGCCGTGCTAATATCTACACGGAAATAAAGTAAAAGAAATATTAATTCCGTTTTTCGTATAATGAAAACAAGCGATCAAAAGAACTAATTGAGATTGTCATTGGTCATTTAAATAAAATTGTCCGAATATTTTTTCGTTAACTTTTTTAACTAGGTCTGATTTCCACTGAAATTACCCCATTCATCAAAATGGGGTGTTTGATATGCATGATATTACACAGTACTAACTATTTATATATGTGCACAATACCTGTTATTAGTAAAAAGCGGCTATGGATCGGTTATCCAAAGTCATTAATTCGTCAGAATTTTAGTGAATTTTTGCTCTAATTCGACTGTCGGTTTTTAGGTATTTTGTAACGTGATAATGTCTGTTATTCACAAATCAGTGCAAACATAGATAGTATCCCATTGACTTTCCTTGTGCTTTTTGCTATATATGTCATATTTTGTGCTGTATATTTCTAAAAAGAAACTTTTAATCCGTTAATACAAGGAATATCTCAAAATATTTTTACGGTATATGGCTGGAAAATTCTTTGGGGAATGGGGAAAAGTTAAGACGGAGAAAATTTTGATTGGTTAGAGTAAAATGTAAAGGAATGATAGCGACGCACGAATCTGTTACCTTACAAGGAACCATTGGCATTAGATATTTTTTAAATGAAATTATGTCATGGTTTCAATAAAAGCGAACAATACTTTCACAAATATAAATTCGGGAATTATTATCCCTTTATTTATTACATAAGTAGACCTTTCATATGCCGTCAAAGACTATTTCTACAAAAATCTGTAAGAATATTCGCTTTATTTAGAACAATTATTTTTTCGTAATTTACCTGGAGTATTAAAAAGATATGTTTATCATGGAAATTTGATTGCTTATTGCAAGGTTTAACATAAAAATGTGCTTATACATCATAAATATGTTTATTAGGAAAGATAGATGTAGAATTCTATGTTTATGTGAAAAATTTTCCCAACTTATCCGTTATGTAATTGGCTATAGAGTCCTTTGTAGGTCAAATACCCCAACTAATCAGCGCATGATGTGATCACGTGTTTTACCCCAAATGATATTTGCAGCTCGTACTGTTCGACAGCTTGGTCGTGTTAGTTATAGACTGATTTCTTCTTGTGAGTTTTATTTAAAATTCAATTTGCAGTCAAATTTATGATTGTTTATAGACTTGCGCCATTAGTAGTATGCACACAATTTAAAATAGCCCTATTTTCGAAATCCTTTCAGCTATACCGACCTCGATGGGTTCACGAAAACTTACGGGATTTTTCGATCCGAAGGAATTCGGACTTAGGGAGGACTTCCGTCTTTCAAAGTTTTCTCTTTTAAAAGGATGAGGTTGCAAGTTGCCGCAAGCCGAGCTCGTATCTTTGCTTGCGAAAATGCCGGGATGTCTAAATTCCTCGGCAGCTCCCTCTTCGTCTACCTCCCTCCTCTGTAAGTCTTTTGTAAACATAATTAATGTTATTCATGCTAATATTCCTGTGTGATTCAAAATATTTGCCAAGTATCTTGTTACCAACTTTTATCTTTTTATGGAAATCGTGCCCATTGGTTAATTTCGCTGACCAAATGTTTTCGTCGTAGAATAAATATCCCATGGCATTTGATAAATGGGGTTGTGCATAATGTGCACCTTTCTGATTTATTTAGGTCCTTAATTGAACACGTGGAACAAATAGACTATGTAATTTCTTTGTACTCTTTTACAACTCTCAGTTACTACTAACTATATTGCATTATTTAAATTAATATTAATTCTGTTTATTCATTTATTTATTAATGTCTGCCTCTGTTCCCTAAAAAATCAAGAAATAAGCTGACCGGATAATATAGTTGTGTAGTCCCCCGAATTGACAAAATCGTTTGTTTCTCGTCTTAAAATTAAGAAATGGAGTTTTTTCCTTAAATCACTTATCTCGGTCGAAGTATGTAAAGCATCCCAAAAGTACGACCCTAATTTCACATAATTCGAATAAACATTCAATTTCTTACCCCCCCTTCTAGCTTTTTGTGCAATTGCGAACACTCTTGTTCGTTTTTGATGCTCTGATCATGGCAAAGGAAGGAGGCAATTTCTAGGTCCTATTTATAGCTAACACTTTGGCGTGTAATTAATATCATATAAAGGCGGAATTACACTATTTGAAGTTATCATCAGCCATCACGTTAAAGGCTACAATTGAAAGGCAATAAAATGTTTTACTGCCTGATCGGTCTGCAGCGGACTGCTACGCTAGTAAAGCCTGACTAACTCAGAAATCTCTATGGCATATCCTCCTACACCTAGCTAGACTCCCAGAACCAGCTAAGCTATCGAACCAGCTAAGCTATAGCCCAGCTATAAAGGAAACAGACCGAAACTAGCTAAGCTATAGCCCAGCTATAAAGGAAACAGACGATAATTCGGAACACGTATATTCAGTCACGTAATGATCAGAAAAGTGTGCACGGAGCACGTTTATTCAGGACGTATCTTGCGGATCAAGTCGGAGCACGTTTATTCAGTAAGTATATTCAGGATCAAGTGTACACGCATGGAGCTACTCATGATCAGGATGGATAAGGTGTACACGCAGGGAGCTACTCATGATCAGGATTGGTAAAGAGTGTTCACGCAGGGAGGTACTCATGATTAGGATGGAGGATTAGGTTAAACAGATGTTAATGATTGGTCACTGTTAGTACGGTCG